GCAAGATGACTCAGGTTGCAAAGAACAACAAAAAAATGACATTTGTTTGGATGTTGTATTATGCCATGAGACAATTAACATTTGAAGCTTTCTCCCTTTTTTTTATAACTTTTTTTTTTCTCGTTCTTCTCTTCTTCTTTTTTAATCCTCTTCCCCTTCTTCTTCTTCTTCTTAATTTTTTTTTTTCTATTCTCCTTCCTTTTTTTTTTTATCATCTTCTTCTTCTTCTTCTTTTTTGTTCATCTTATTCTCCTTCTTCTTTTTTCTTTTTTTTTTAATCATCTTCTCCTTCTTCTTCTTCTTCCTCCTCCTTTTTTTTCGTTGTTCCCCCTCAACTTGGCATGTGGATCAAAGATAAATAGGATATATATCTGGACATACTCTTCACAATATGATGTAAGTTTTCTGCTAATACTAATGGAACAAAAATATGCAGAATTATCTTTCTGCTCATGAATGGTTAGTATGATGTCAAATAGAGATTAGAAAAAGTAATGGGAAAAAAGTGAATGACAGTCATCAATAAATCAGAATGCACTTTTCCACCAAAAAGAAGCAGATCAATTATACAAGTTTTGAAGTACCTTTTCACTCAGTAGTGTTTTCACTCAAAACTTGGTCACCTAACTAACATGTTTTTCATGAGTATGCATAACAGTACCACATCCATTGAATCATGCTCCACACAGTCACCAAATGCTATGGAAATCTAGGTGTATAGTTAGAAGGACCTAGAGTTTGTCTTGTGTAGGTGATGTTGTCTTTATAAAGTGGAATAGGGTCTTCTTTTTTAAAAAAAAAATATAGAAGTGATGATAAGTATGCAGACGGGACAACAAATTTTTGGTTCTAATTCAAGCATCCATATTGGGGGTCACATAAATCCTTATGTAGAACTAATCAAGCCTAGTTCTAGTCTCAATTTTTCAAACCTATCTCTATTTGACGGCTTAGTGAAAATATCTGCTATTTGAAATTCAGTGGGACAAAAATTCAACTTGATTAAACATTTTTCTGTACAATCTCTCAAAAAATGATGCCTAATGTGTATGTGTTTTGTTCTTGAATGCAACACTGGATCTTTTGATATACTTATAGCACTTGAGTTGTCACAAAGGATAGGCATACAACCAACATTTATTCCAAAGTCAATTAACTGTTGTTTTATCCATAACAATTGAGCACAACAAAGGGCAGCAGAAATATATTCAGCTTCAGTAGTGGATAATGCAATATTATTCTGTTTCTTTGAACCCCAAGTAACCAAGCAAGGACCAAGAAATTGAGCCATACCTGAAGTGCTTTTTCTATGAACAAGGTCACCTGCAAAATCTGCATCACTATATGCCACTAGATCAAAATTAGCACCCCTAGGATACCATAATCCTAAGTTATCAGATCCTTTTAAGTATCTTAATATCTGTTTAACAGATTTCAAATGGGATTCTTTGGGATTGGATTGAAAACGTGCACATAAGCCTACACTAAACACAATGTCAGGCCTACTAGCTGTTAAATATAAAAGTGATCCAATCATACCTCTATACATTTTTTCATCCACACTTTTACCTTCTTTGTCCTCACTTAATCTATCTACAGTCCCCATTGGAGTCTTGTGCGGCTTAGAGGCTTCCATCCCATATTTTTTTAGAAGGTCTTTGAGGTACTTTTGTTGATGAATCATTGTACCCTTGTCACTTTGAGAAACCTCTTGCTCCATTATGCCTAATATTTTCCAAAGTTTGATGATGTCAAAAAAGGGGGAAACTAAGATGCCTTATTTGAGTTAATTAAGTGTTGGTTACTAGTTGAATTTGTCAACATTATCACTGTTTAATTACTACTGTTTGAATATCTGGTTTTGGAATTGGTGACTAATAAAAGGAAATCACAAGAATGATGCACAAATAAAAAAAACACAATGATTTCTACGTGGAAAAATCTCCTAGGCTCAATAGGAGTAAAAAACCACGACCCACTTGGATTTCAATCCAATGGGATTTAAAAAAAAACTTCACTAATTTCAATGAGCCAAAATACTCAAGTACAAGTAGATCCTAATCTACTCTTGAGGCACACTACTTTGATTCAACCCTTTAAATCAAAGTTTACACTTATCCACCGATAAGCCCACACCTATTGTTACTATCAACAATAGCAAGTCTCCACACACGGAGAAAAATCAACTTAAAATGAACCACCTTACTAATACTTCTAGAAAAGCTCAAAGGTGACGATGAAGCACTTAAAACCTAAGCTTGTAAAAAAAGTTAAAAAAGAACACAAGTCTTAGGCTAAAAAATTTAGATCACATTTGCTGCTTCACTGTGAGACTATTGGAGCATGGGTATATATATAGTAAAAAAAAATTTCATAAACTTTTGCTCCCATGATAATGTTGTTTAGACTTTATCCTTATCTCTTAATTTCAAATTTTGATTCTGCTCTTTATCTTCAATTGACTGCAACAACTTCAAGCTTTATCTTATCTTCAGATTTGGAATCTCAACAACCTTTTGATATGCTATAACCACCCAACAAAAATCATCCTGTTTTTGATCAACAAATAAAGTTGTTAGGATTTGTAATTTAATTATATCAATTGTGTCATCATTAAAATATTTTAAAGCATAGGGTGCAACAATCCGCACATGTTAGAACTTTTGCGTATGTTAATGCCGTCAGTCTGCAATGCAAATGCAGATGAATTCACTCGCAAGAAGAACATCTCGTCTAGCCTTGCTTGATCTTATGATTATGACGACGGAGGACACGTTGCATTAAGTTCTGTTCTGAGAGACAGGATTTTTAATAGTTGAGAGATATAACATGTTTTAAGTGAACATGCATTAACCTATGTAAAAAGTGTGTCATTTGAAAGGATGTAAAGTTGCGTCATTTTAAGAGAGTGAAAGAGATAGATAAAAGAGAAAAGAAGGTTGATAAAAAAAAATATGTATATCTCACTTCTTTATAAGAGTAAAATGACACAAATTGTGTCATTTAAAAAGATAAATATTTTTCCTTCCCATAAAGTAAAGCACAGATTTAGTTTCATCTGAGAAATTGTATTATAAACCTATTAGAATGACTTCGGTTTAATTTGGAAATTTTTGTAGCCTTGTTCATGATTGTCTCTAGAGGTGGCAAAGTGGGCGGCCCCTCCCGCCCCGCCCAGCCCCTCCCCGCCATCAACCCGCCAAAAAATGAGCCAGCTCGTACCGCTCCGCTTTTGAAAGTAGACTGAAAAACTCAGCCCGCCCCGCCCCGTTTGACGAGTTGAGCGGATTGGCCCGCCAGCCCGAGCCTATTTTACACTGACCCGCCTATGCCCGCCATCAACCCGCCAAAAAATGAACTCGCCCCGCTTCGTCCCACTTTTGAGATGAGTTGAAAAACTCAACCCGCCCCGTTTGACGGGTTGACCCGCCGAGCCGAGCCCGTTTCGCCGACTCTACTTGTCTCGTTACTTGTGATTTCATTGAGCTATTATTGTTGCCAGCAATGCGGTGAAAAATGTTTAATTGGTCTCCTATCTTACTTTTTGACTTCCATGCCCACATGTACAAAAGCCAGTCGAATCTAGTCTGCTCCATTTCTATTACGAAGAACTAGGAACTTATCATTATGATGACGAAAAACGTGAGGATAGCTCGGTTATGCTTGAAGTACTCATTATAAATCCTAACCATAAAATTTTGTTGAATACAAAGCCAAGAAAAAGGGGAAGGCGAAGGTTTAAAGGGTTAAGGTATTTAACAGGAAGTAGAAGGGCAAAGGAAGTAAAGGAATAAGGGATACAGGCAGCTAACAAGTGATTGAATGACCAACGAAATACATCTTATTTTACCCCCCATTTATTCATATTTTAACTTCTAACGGAAATTTGGACCCCAGTTCAAATTATTTAGTAACCAAGTCCGGATAACGTGGTATGACTTTGCCACAACTTTTGGCTAAACAAATTTAAATGCCTCCCAGCGTATTAAAAGAACTGGGGCCTCCAAAGCGGATTCATATCTCATATTTATTGGCTCGTTTTTTAAATTTTCCACCTAGCAGAGTAACAATCCACACAAATTGTTCAACAGTAACAGTGGGGTACTGAGTAAGAAAACTCGGTGTGCAACCAGCAATATTAGAACGGTAGAAAAGACTTTTAAAAATAGAGATGAATATAGAAGCAACCAAAAAGAAAATGGAACATCTCTACATGGGTTCCATTCCAACTTTATAATATACTAACTTCTAAAAAAAAGTCAATATCAAATAATATCAATCTACTTTATGTCCACATCTTGTCCCATATAGATTTGCAAACATCTTTTGTCTAAAATCCAAAAGTATCTATCATCATGGCATAATTATAAACGCTGCATTTAAACCCCATGAATCGGACCCCAAAATAAAGGGCAAACTTAAAAATCATCTTATCTATTGCCATAATCCCGACAGCTATCTCATGCAACTTGCATATGCAACAAAAAGCTTAGGACGTAATAGATGCAAACAAAAACACCAAGCATCTTTCAATTGTGCTTGCCCTGTTACTCTGGGGCCTGGGCCTCCCCACACCACATGGATTCTGTAATCGTCCCTCCATCTTGAAATTGTAACGATATAAATTGATAGTATCATAGATAATGACATTGCTGGCTTAATTTAGCAATAATCTAAACATTTAAGGATTAAAAATAATAATAAGAAGAAGAAGAACGGAAAGTGTGAACGATATATAATAAACTCCAGCTACTGCACAGCAAGCGTTTAAATAGTAAAATGCTGCGAGTATACACTCTCAGTATATTGTACATAGTTTTATCAAACCTCATATTTCGAATTTTTACCAACCCCATGGGTTATGGAGGATGGGGGTGATGATGATCTAAAAGCTAAAGGATTCCAAAATGACGAAAGAAATTAAATAATAACAACAATAATAATAAGAAAAGAGATAATAATGATCTGTACAAGTTAAGGAAAGCCCTAAACATGAAAATTTACCTGGAGGAAACAGGGTTTAAGGCTCTAGCGAAGCCATTCATAGCCCCATAACCCTTTGAACTAAATCCCAAGCAACCAAGGAGACCCTGCCTGTAAGGCAAGAAGGTCTTTTTTCTCAACTCCTCAGTTTGAGCTCTGTTCGCTTTGTAGTGCAACTCATGCGGCGAAGGTGGCACGCGCCTCTTCCCAACACCATTGGTAGGCTTGCCGCTCATTTTCTTCGAATTTCCTTTGCCAGAAGAAGACCCATTTCTCTTATTATTGTTATTATTATTGTTATTATCACAAGACTTGTCCTTTGAGAGAGGGTCATGGAGATTTTGATTGTTAGCATTAGCTTTCTTGTCCTTAGTGGGAGAGAAGGAAATAGTGGACCAGAACTTGTTGTTACTCCTTCCTTCGCTTTTGCTTCTGAGAAAATCCTTCAAGAAAACCCACCTCTTGGAGCTCCTTCCAGCTGAAGAAGACCGAGAAGAAGAAGCTGAAACAGAAGGAGTTGTCTCCAAAACCAACCCATCATCTTTGTCCCTTTGGTTCTCAACTTCCGAGGAACAACCATTACTATCGTTGTTGATTTTGTTATCCTCATGATCCTCGTTCTCTCCCCACTCCAAAGGCGTGTTGTTCCTGAGAGGAGACATAGATCTGGTTCTTCTCCTCACAGACTTGTCCCTCAGCCTTAGATCTCTACCTCGTACAACAACCTCTGCTTCTGTTTCTTCGTCTTCTTCTTCTTCTTCTCCTCCTTCCAGATCCAGCAAGGGAGCAAGAACCTGCGGCCGTTCCAGGTGGGTGGAGAGCTTCATGGGCCGGATCTGACCGTTCAAGAACAACTCATCGGCCGAGATCATGGAACCGGAACCGGCCGAACCGGATGAACCGAACCGAGCCGAGAATTCGAACTCAGAACCGAGGGGGACAGAAGAGGTGGTGTTTTGGTATGAGGTAGGAGCGGTTATAGCAAAGTGCATTGGACTAGCGGGAGCACTGTAGAAAAAACCGGGGATGAGTCCACGGCCAGGACTTGAAGGAGCACTGACGTAAGGGGTGGAACAAGTGCTGTCAAAGTCTTCGAAGAGGGTTTCGCCATTGTTGGGTTCTTCTGTGTTTGTGTTTTGGGCATTTTTGGTGGGTGTTTGAAGGTCCATTATTTGCTGACAGAGTGAAGGAAGAAGATGAGTGTAGTGTGTGTGTGTGTCTGCAAAACTGAACCTGACTTGACGCGGTGCACACAAAATAAGTAAATAAATAAATGTTTTATTTGCCTGAATTATATTTTTGCCCTTCTCTCTATACTTTTATATCGTCATTTGCCATTCATTATTCTTTCCTACTTTTCTTTTCTCGCTTAACCTAATAATTAATTAATATCTAACTTACTTCCATTCATGGACAAGTAATTGAAAGATGAAACCATGCTGATGCTTGTAAAATCCGAATTAGAGGTTGAGTCGGTTGGATAGTAAAGGAGGTTGGGGAGGTATTTGGTTTAGCCCTCGTCCAAATATCCCATTCTTAGGTATTGGGATAGGTACGTGGAGATTCATTTACTTTAAAATTAATTAAAATATGACATAAATTAATCTCTAGAAAGAAAGTGTGGTATTTTAAGATAAAGGAAAATGCATCTTTTAAGAGAGAAAAAAAGTAATTTAATCAAAAAATTTAATAAATAATTGCCACAAGTTCAATGCTTGTGGTACTTATTTGTAAAAAAATAACCCATTTTAATACTTTATAAAAAAATATCTATTTTAAAGATTAATGTAAGTCTTCTTTGAATTTTTGAAAGATAATAATTTTAAAGAACTGAAATTTCAGAGAAAATTCAAATTGATTTTTTTTTTAAAAGGTAAGAATAAATTTCGTATTTTTTGTTGAGGTCTAAAAAATATTTATTTTTTGTAAAGATAGCAATATAGGATCACTTTACACTTTGAAATGATAAGATTTATTATTATTTACTCATATACAAAATCGGCAATAATTTTCTCGAGAAAATATCATTTTATATTGTGAGGTATCGAAATTTAAACCCTTATTTTAAAAAATAATAATGGAATTTAAAATTGAAAACTTCTCCTACTCCCAAACACAATACAATATAATGAAGATAAAGGTATGAATATGCAATTGAAAATATTTTCTAAAAAAGGTGCTGTTACTAGTCCTGTCGGTACCGGTGCATGAAAATGAAGACAAAACATTTTTTCTTCTTATCGCTAACAATTAGAGATTTACACTATCATTAACGCTAGACAAAGAGCAATAAATGTAGATGTGTGTACACTACTGTACACCTAAAATCTGTACATTAGTTTGGCCTATGACGCGTGTAATCAAGAAAGAGACATAATTTACTATTATCCTATATGATAACCTTTTCACCATTGATTAAACTATGGAAAATATTAACCTCATCTAATAGAAAATAATAAGTATTTTCTACACACTCAACAAAATGTGGAATTTATTTCAATTTTTTTTTTCTTTTTCTGTGCAACGGAATCCACATAAGTTGGTGAGTGTACATGAGATATTTTATCTCATGTTACATAAGAAAATATAATCCCTTAAACCATAGTGGAGTTTGATTAAAAAGAAAAAAAGTAAAAAACTTTAGTACATAGGTTAAGGACATTAAACTATTATTAAAGTTTATTACCATATCAGAAAAAGGATGAAGACACGTCAGCAAAAAAAACAGTTAATTAGTTTATGATTAGTCAGAAGTCAGTTACTACTGAGTTTATTAGAGTTGTAAATTTTCTTCTTCACATGTATCTTTTTTCTTTGGTTTTACAACAAGAAAGACAGTTCATGACAAAGACATGCAATAATGATGTAAGTGAAGTAAAGATCTTTGCAAGTTCATCTGAAGGTTATCGTGGCCGTAACAACATGTATAGAGGCAGAGGTCGTTCAAATACTGGCAGAGGTTATAATACAGTGAACAAGTATTGTACTCACTGTAAAAAAATCAATCATACCATTGATTCTTACTATTTCAAGCATGGTTTCCCTCAAGGATATCGATCAAAGAATCCACAACAAGAGCATTCTGCTAACAACGCCTTCTTGCATGGTGGTCTTAATGAAGAAGTCTATATGACTCTTCCTCCTGGTGTTACAAGTAACAAATCCAATTAGGTCTGCAAATTACTCAATTCTCTCTATGGCTTGAAACAAGCTAGCAGACAATGGCATCACAAACTCACAACTGCTCTAAAATTCTTGGAGTATATTCAATCTTCAGCTGACCATTCTCTATTTACCATTAAGACAACATCCTCTTTCACTATTATCCCCGTCTGTGTAGATGGCATCGTTCTAGCAGGGGACGATATGGAAGAAATACAACATGTTAAAACATTCCTTGATCGCAGCTTTAGAATCAAAGATCTTGGATCACGTCGCTTTTTTTTTGGACTTGAAATATCTCGTTCAAAGAAAGGTATTATTCTAGATCAACGCAAATATGCGTTAGAACTCTTGTCTGACAGTGGATTACTTGGTGCAAAACCTGCCTCAACTCCCATGGATGCTTCTTCAAAACTTTGTCGGTCTATAGGTGAACCTTTGGCTGATCCTTCCCCATATAGAAGACTTGTGGGACGACTTCTATACTTAACTACAAATAGACCAGACATCACATTTTTCATTCAACAATTGAGCCAGTTTGTCTCTGCTCCTACTGATATTCCTCACAAAGCAGCTCTGCGTGTGCTTCGTTATATCAAAAATTCTCCTAGCAATGGCTTATTATTTCCTTCCACTAACTCATTGAAGCTTTCTGGATATTCTGATTCAGATTGGGCGTGTTGCTTGGACACCAGACGTTCTATTACAGGTCATTGTGTATTTCTTGGCTCTTCTCTCATTTCATGGAAAACAAAGAAACAGACCACAGTTTCTCGCTCTTCTTGTGAGGCAAAATATAGAGCATTAGCGTGCTTATCTTGCGAGTTGCAATGGCTAGATTTTCTTCTCAAGGATCTTCATATTTCTCAGTCACATCCTGTCCCAGTATATTGTGACGATGTTTCCGCCATTTATCTTACTCATAACCCCACATTCCATCAACGCACAAAACACGTGGAATTGGATTGCCATGTTGTTCGAGAGAAAGTCACTTCTGGTCTCATTCATCTCTTGCATGTATCTTCTTCTAAACAAGTTGCAGATGTCTTCACTACGCCACTTCTTACTTCTGCTTTTACTGAGGCTATATCCAAGTTGGGACTTATAGATATTCTATGTCCAACTCATGGGGGGATATTACCATATTAGAAAAAGAATGAAGACACGTCAGCAAATAAAACAGTTAATTAGTTTATTATTAGTTAGAAGTCAGTTACTACTGAGTTTGTTAGAGTTGTAAATTTTCTTCTTTATATGTATCTTTTATCTAAGTCTTTATCTCAGGTATAAGAACAAACTTGTACTTGACTTTTGGATCAGTTTTCATAATGAAAGTTTTCTTCAAGATTCATAAGAAAGTTAATTAAAAATATAACATTTTTCAATCATAATTATTTGCTGTGTTGCAAAACGGTTGTTATTGCATGTATCTATTTTTTTTACTTTTTTATAGTAAAAATTAATATATATAAATTAAGGGTTTACAACTTTTGCTGTTGTCGCAGAAGTTGGGAATATGTAACTGAGAGAGAAAAAAAAGGAGGGATCCACAATGTTAAAAAATTAAAAAAAATCTTAAACATAACATTTTGTTTAGTCTGTTGCAAGGAAAAATACTTATGCAACAATAGCAGAAGTATTTTTTCCATAAATTAATATAAAAAGTCTTAAATAAATTCGATTATTGATTTGCTTACATTTAACGGCTCACATATCTAATAAATAAGAATTTTTAAATATAAATAGAATCAATAACCAATATTAAAAATAATCACAAAATCCATTGTGCACAGACTAAAGCTCATCCTATAAAACCTTATCTCACCCTTCCAAGCCAGTTTCGTCCCGAAAAGGCATATCCAAGACAATATAATAATCGCCCAGGAGATGGTTCATTTGATGGAACACAGGAAAGGGAACTGTGGTCTAATGGCGATTAAAATTAATCTAGCTAAAGAATACGATCGTTTGAGCTGGTCTTTCATTAAGAAAGTTCTTGAAGATGCAAATATCCCGACGAGCCTCATACAAATTATTATGAATTGTATTGAAAAACGTCCTCCTTCAGGGTCTTGTGGAATGGGTCTAAATCTGAGAGATTCATTCCAGGTCGCGGTATCAGGCAAGGGGACCCACTATCACCATATTTATTTGTTTTATGCATGGAAAAACTTTCACACCTTATTGCGGATGCAGTTGGTTCTGGAAGATGAAAACCTTTTAAAACAGGTAGAGGGAGGCCTATTATCTCCCATCTTTTGTTTATGATGTCATGTTCTTTGCGGAGGCCAGTCTGAACCAAATGGATGTAATTCAATCTTGCTTAAATGATTTTTGTGAAGCTTCTGGCCAACTTGTCAGCACTAGCAAAAGTGTCATCATGCTCTCGCAAAACACAAATAAAGACCTGGCCAAAGCAATTTGTGACAAATGCAGCTTCAAGAGGGTAAGGAAAATGGGCAAATACCTAAGGGTAACTATTAAACAAGGGAGAGTAACCAAAAGATCATACTTTGAGATTATGGAGCGTGTACACAATCACTTAAATGGGTGGAAGACCAGATACCTCTCCATGGCTGGGAGAGTTACACTAGCTCGTTCAGTCATCTCAGAAATTCGAAGCTTCCAAATGCAGCACTCTCTTCTTCCTGTTACTCTTTGTGATTAAATTGAAGCTCTTCAAAGGAGGTTTATATGGGGATGGATAGAAAATAAAAGGACAATGCACCACGTCACTTGGACTCAAGTCAGTCGACCTAAGAAGTTAGGTGGCCTTGGGATCTTAAACCTTCGAGCCCAAAATACAGCATATATAGTGAAGCTTCTCTGGAATATCATCCTAAATCGTGAGGCACTCTGGGTGTGTGTCTTATTGGCAAAATATGGGAGGGGATGCGACCTTAGAAGAAAGACATCTTGCAAGCCATATGATTCTAAACTCTGGCGAGACTCGGGGCACGCGTGGAAGGAAACACTCAAGATGGCTAAGTGGGAGATTGGAGATGGC